TAGCGTTCAAACAAACAAACAAACAAACAAACTCTTCAGCTTTATAATATTAGTATAGATATCTCCTAAACGCTATAGCTATAATAATAAAATTCACTGACTGATGCAAATTTTTAGCACCTCTCATCTACAGTGTTAAATTGTTGAAATCGGGTGACAATCCCGCCCTCCCATAACGGCTGTTATCATAAAATATCGGTCAATGTAAGATATATAATAAATAAATGAAACTCTCAATAGTAGTATGTTTGTGACACAAAATGGTTTAATCGGATCAATACTTCCTTGTTCTCCCAATATACCATATAAAGATTTTTGAGCCTCTCATCTTTATACCGCATATCACCAATATGTGAGTTATCTCAATGAAAATGAAAGAGCGATGAAATCGGGTGAAAGTTTTACCTAGCCACCATGTACAAATATCAGGATTTTCGAACATTCGTCTGACTTACTCCATTTGATTTTGATTATAGTGAGGTACCTTAATGAAACTAGGAGGATTTTATTAGCTGTGGCATGTTAGTAGTATTTCAAAAGTGATCAAATCGTAATACTCCTCTACTTCCATTTGCTACTTATAATAATTTTCGTTATTCTAACCAGTTTTATGCCGAATATGTCCAGTGAGTATTAATATTTTTATACTCGCAACCTGTTGCTACAGAGTATAATAGTTTTGTTCACCTAATTGTTTGTATCACCCAAACTAATCAGTTAGATATAGGTTATGTATATATAAAATCAGGATGAAGAGACGAGTTGAAATCCGGGTGACTGTCTGTCCGTCCGTGCAAGTTGACTTGAGTAAAATTGAGATATCTTTATGAAACTTGGTAGACATGTTTCTTGGTACCGTGAGACGGTTGGTATTGCAGATGGGCGTAATCGGACCATCGCCACGCCCACAAAACGCCATTAATCAAAACAAAAAATTGCCAACTAAGCTCCGCAAAGACAGCTAAGATTATTTGGTACACAGGATCACATTAGGGAGGGCATCTGCAGTTAAAATTTTTAAATGGTCCCGCCTCTAATAGGTTTAATGTGCATATCTCCTAAACTGCTAATGCTATAATAACAAATTCACTGAAGCAAATGTTTTAGAACCTCTACCTACAGTGTGAAAAAGTCGGGTGGCAACTCCGCCACTCCCCATATAACGGTACTGTTAAAAACTACTAAAAGCGCGATAAATCAAGCACAAACAGCCAAAGACATAAAATTTTATCTCTGGAATGGTATGAGATGACTTTATAGGAACCGCGTTCAATTAGACAGTGGGCGTGGCACATCCCACTTTTAGGTGAAAACCCATATCTTGAGATCTGCTTAACCGATTTCAACCAAATTCGGTGCATAACGTTTTTTCATATTTCTATGTTATATTGCGAAAATGGGCGAAATCGGACTACAACCACGCCTACTTCCCATATAACACCATTTTAAATTCCATCTGATTCTTTCACTTTCCACTATGCATATCAAGCAACAATGATTATATCGGGGCAAAACTTTGTGTAAATAATACGTTTAAAGTATTCCACCTTGTGACCAAAAATTGTCTAAATCGAACCAAAACTGTTCAAGCCCCTAAGTACTAAATATGTGGAAACCAGTGCTTATAGTTGACCTTCTACCGAAAATATCAACCAATCCACAAAGAAATCTCAAACGAGTATACCATTTGACTTTGCGAGAGTATAAAATGTTCGGTTACATCCGAACTTAGCCCTTCCTTACTTGTTTATATATAAAATTGCTTCAAAATACTTTTAAAGAAACTGTTTGCTCGAGTATTGCTGAGCAATGTCAAAATAATTATCTTTCTCTATCCCCAATATATATTATATATGATTTCCGTCTTTCCACCTGACTTGATATTGATATTTTAACGAAATTAAATGGATAAGATTTCTTAAAAATTATGTGGTTTGACGCTGAATTAGAATGAAATTAGTACATACCTTGGTCTAAACCTCACACCTTCATATAATGAATTCCGATTCTCTGGTTCACGTTTGCCACATAAGCTTATAATATAAAATTTAGCCACTTTGGTAGAGTTAATATCACATTCATACTTATGTATATCTCTCTTCAAGCAATAAAACTGAGACTAAGTTTATGACCTTTAATATAAGTCAAGAAGTATAAAATTCTCTGTTCCACCCTAGTACCCATTATCGGGGATATATTGACCCTAGCTCCAACATATTTTATGTACAAAATTAAAACTTCCGTTTGGCTTTATATAAACGTAAAATATTAGATATACGATAATTTAATGTCGAAAATGTGTGAAGTTCTTCCACGAATTTCCCCAGCTCACTCACTCTGTAGCAATATGTACCATATACACCATAGTACCTATACACCGAACAGGAAAGAAGTCATAGCAAGGAGTCAATTACAGTGAAAGAGAGCAGCCCCTAGGATCCAACTTTTAACACCCGGACGGACTGAATTATATAATTATTTATATTAATATACATTTATTAATTATGCATAGATGAAGTAGTAAATCTGTATTACTAAGTCGTCTTCAGAATAGAAAACGTATGAGAGTTCTTCGAGCAAACTCCTTATATAGAGATAGTGAGCAGTAAGAAGATACTGTAAGTCACGCTAATCGTCGAATAGATTCCCATGTGCGTCTGTCCGAACAAATTATCAATACAAATTAACATAGAACCAGGCGGGAAAATCTCGAAATACGGTCTTTTGAAAACTATTTAAATACTGTTGAACATAGGGCAAGACGTCTAAATCCCCAAATCCCCTCTAAAGAGCAAAGCAGAAATACTCGGCGGCATAGATTTCGGAGCGAGAATAATGACGTTCGATACGTTGAGCAAGTTGTAAATACTGTTCAACATGGCACAAGGCGGCAAGATCCACAAATTCGCTCTGTAGAACAAATAAGAGATACTCGATGTCATAGATCTCGTCGAGAAAATCCCGCGGTACGTTATGATGAACAAAGTTGGAACACTAGGGATCATAGAGAACTTCGTAGAAGAAATCCTTGTGGGGGAATTTAGAGCGCATTCGTGATCAAATGCAAAGAGAACATGCAAGAAGAAATCCTGAAATAAGGAGAGAGGAGCGTGATAAAGAAACACAACGTCGACAGCTTAGAAGGAGGAGTATGAGGGAAGAAAATTTGAATCAGAGACGTCTTAGACAAAGTCAAGTTCGCTTTCGTAGAGATAACCCGGTCTATAGACAAATTGAAAACCAAAGGCAATCCCAACGAATCCGATTAAGGAGAAAAAATCATGTAATAGAAACTGATAACAGTGGCAATTTAATAGACTTCGAAAACATTTATTTCCAAAATATAAATAAGCTTTATAATATTAGTATAGATATAGGTATATGTACCTATATGCAAAGCATAGCATTCTAGCTCTATAGAACCGAAGTAAAGAAAATTTATTTAAGCCGCAAAGTTTTAGAAGCGATTTTTTTAAATGTTTTAATATTAATATTCTGGTTCTATACAGAAATTCAGCTTACTCTGTCAGAAATTTAATTTGTAGAACTTCAGGAAGTCCTTACTTCTGAGTTATGCAATCAAAATGTGCTAATTGTTGGAGATTTTAACATTTGTTTAATGTCTACATGTACTACGATAGGAAATCTGCTCCAAGAAAAAAACTTTGGTTCCCTGCTTGGTGTAGAATATTCAACTATGCCGGTACACAAATTGATTGGGCATTTTGAAACATGGATCCTTCCCATGCTAATGCAATTTTTTTTTGAGACAGTACACAGCTATCATGACAGTATTTGTGTCTCTATTTTGAACTAAAGTTTTCAGACTTATTGTAATAGTTCTTTATTTTTTTTCAAATACAATCGAATTAGAATGGTATAGCAATTTTGACAGTAGTTTTTAAGACAATTTTAAGAAAAATATGTAAATAATCTAATTTAGAAAACTTAAATTATATGTATAATTTGTTATTATATAAGACATTATTGTATAAATATATGATAGATATTAAATAGTATAAGGAGAAAAGAAATATAATTTGGATATATGTATAAGAATCTCTATAAGAATTTATGATTAATATTTTAAATATTATAATACAAATTAATATAATAACATAATTAATTTTTAAAGTTGATAATATTTATTATTTTTAAGCTAAACATGTATAATAATATCGATAAAATAATAAAAAATGTTATTCATTGTCCAAAAACGATTTCTGTTCATACTTTCAATACAGTTGTAATTCATTCTATATAAAATAAATTATAAGTGTATAGAACAAAACACAAGAACGATTTACAAATTGTTCTAATTAATTTCACTGTGAATGTAAATAACTGTTGTAGCCTCAGTATATTCCTGCTGCTAATTATTAAAATATATAAAGAAATCTCGAACGAGTATGCCATTTTACTATGCGAGAGTATAAAATATTCGGTTACATCCGAACTTAGCCCTTCCTTACTTACCGAAATATACGGTATAAAGCCAACCGGGAGTTTCAAATTCTTAAATAAGGTACATGGAGACTAAGATATATATTGAACCAAATTTATCCAGTTTTAGTATTACAGCATAACATCTCCAGAAATAGATGCTCTCTGAAAAAGTCAGCTATGTGGACTGAGGTTCCTATTTACAGTATCTGGGGCTTTAAAAAATTGTCATCTCATTTCAACTAATTTTAGACTAAAGATTACATACCTTCAGAGCACTATTTGGGGTCGGAGATGGTGCCGAAAAGATTTATCCTGAGTCCTGAGATTCGTTAATTCAGCTTTTGTGGTATGTACATTAAAGTTATTAACTTTTTAAAAATTTTGAAAATTGATCTGTGGTTCTGTACAATTTTCATCAAAATATTTTAAGTTACGGACGAACGGGCAGACAGTCAACAGGTTTTTAACGCTATTTGTCTCGATAAGTTATATTAAACTCTGTACCAACATGTTGCGAGAGTTTTAAAATTAATTTCATCGGTATTGGATAGTCATTATATTATATTGTTAGCAGTTTTATTTGAAATACAAAATTTAATATACATTACTTAAGAATATTTAAACAATTAAACTCTTACTAAAATTAATTGCCTGATATTTGCCGACATCTTAAGGTTGCAGCTTCTACTGCATTGGCAATTGTTCCACGAAAACCTATTTTGAAAGTCGCCGAAAGACGAGTTAGTTTAACGATAAATTAAAATAAGTTTTAAATACCTTCCGTTTCTAAAACTTTAAGCGCCGCCGCAGTTGAACCCGCTGGGCTAGTTACATTGTCCTTCAAGACACCCGGATGTTCTCTTGTATCGCGTACCAATTTTCCTGAGCCCAAAACAGTTTGTGCGGCAAGTCGATATGCCAAATCACGCGGCAAACCCATTCGAACCCCGCCATCCGCTAGTGCCTCAATCATGACAAATACATAAGCTGGTCCACTTCCGCTCAGAGCTGTAATGGGATCAAACCAAATTTCCGGAACTTCTTCACATGTGCCAATCGCTTCCAAAAGTAACTTTGTTAACTCGCCATCGTTTTGGCTTGCCTTTGCACCGCGTGCATATACCGAACATCCCGCTTTCACCAGTGCCGGAGTATTAGGCATTGCACGTATGACTCGGGCACCTGAGGATAATTGCTGTAAATTGAAGTGAATTTGTGAAATAAATAACACCCAGTCCTCAGCAATACTCACCCGTTCTAACATCTTTAAAGTGATGCCCATGGCTATTGAAATAAACAACTTGTTGTTGCTCAATGGTCTGATTTCAGGTAATATAACAGGCACCACCTGTGGTTTAACTGATATAAATACTATATCCGATTTCTCTACAACCGGTTCATTTTTTACCACCGTCTCAATACCTATTTGCTAGTATAATATAAATGTTTATAATACCATAAATTAACGATTAATTATACCATATTTATATTACACGTGATATTATAACCAAACAGTTTAATACATAAGCATTACTACCTCAAATTGCGTATAACTTTGTTTATCATCTGGATGTACGCTGGCAATTATTTCCTCAGGCTTTGTAAGACCTCGACGGAATAAATATTAAAATGAAATCATATTATCTTGAAGCATTTCTTTAAATGTTTACCAGCTGAGAGAAAACCTTTCACCATTGCAAGAGCCATTTTACCACCCCCCAAAACGCCGATTTTGCCAACTTTATTCATGTTTGTTTTTAAAAATAAAAATTTAAAACCAATTTATTTTAATATTGAATTTTAGATCTTCACTACTCAATAGCTAGACAGTCATTAAGCCCTTATCAGCACAAGGTTTCGAATACTTAATAAAAAAACAAACCTGATAAGGAATGCTATGATAAGCTTAGTATTCCAGTCTATAAACAAAAATAGCTATTGCCATCAGTTTTCCGCCTCTATTCAAATGAGCATTGCAATTGTAAACAAAGAAATATAAAATTTTAATGATTATATACTAGGGTGGAGCGAAAAAAAATTTTTTTTTTTTGCTTAGCCTGGGGGAAAATCTGTAGATTATAAAAAAAAGGAAATTTTTGGACAAAAAAAAAAATTTTTTTTAACACCTAGACTCACAAATTTACTTTAAAACTGAGTGCGCCTTTAGATGTTAAAAAAATTTTTTTTTGTCCAAAAATTGTTTTTTTCACTCCACCCTATTATATACATAATATAAATTGCAGTCGAACAAACGTTTTATCTGATAAGCTTAACGAGGAAAAACGAGTGTTTTGAATATGTTGTGGATAAGTACGAATCATTGATGTCCACCACAGTCTTTTTGGGAATTCTACACTGGGTTAAACAGCACATTGCCGACAACTCGATACTCCCTTAAAATGAAAATTTACCGATATTTTAGCGGGTCGCTGAATTATGAACGATATAATGAGAATATGCAGCATAGAAAACTTATATAACTTCACAGTAATATTAATCAAAAACATACATTTCTTTAGCTTTGTACATAATTAAAGAGACTTTATTTATAAGTTTATAACAAGTAGAAGAAAATATATGTTTCTTCAATTTCCATGCACGAAATCATTTTCTATGCAGTGGAATTATAAAGCCAGTGAAAGAAAGTAAACAAATATTCGGTTTACATTCATTATATTCTCAAAGAGTTGCGTCTACTCCCTACAAGAAACTTTTAATGGGTTCACCAATACACTCACATTTATTATGTCAGTACTGACGGACAAATTACCCGGCAATTGACCGTCACTGTTATTGTTAAAAAGAGACTCTTACTCTCTATAGCTCTACATATGTAAGAATGAAATATCTGCATTCTTTAGTACTGTCACCACTGACAGTCAAATGAACAGTAAAATTACTGTCAATGTTTACGATTTTTCCAAAAGCAAATTCTGTATACGTCGAAAAGGGACAGCATACATTTCCATAGAAGTTTTGAGAAGTTGTGAAATGCCTATGTATGTAGCTGGTAATCCGTGAGATAAACCAATCGTATGTAAGTTATTAAGTTTCAAATAAAATTACATTTTTAGTTAATTTTCATTTGTATTTAGGCATTTTTAAATTTCGAAATATTCATGAACTGGAGAAATACGTACAGCAGAGCTTTGGAGAGGAGCAAGCATGGAATTAAGTGAAAATTTCTTTTCGTAATTTAGAAAGGGGATGAGAGTGAGCCGTATAGATATATAGAGAATCAATTATGAATACCCACGTGTTTAAAGAGATTCAAATTCACACACATACGTTTGTTTACATCAGTTTTTGCACAAGGCTCTTTAGAAAATTATGCAAACTTTGTTCTGCGCGAGTTAATATCGTTTACACGATATGAGTCGAAAGAAATATACTTTTGAGCTGCACCGAAATGTGTACTCTTTATTGATATTCTTAAGACTCATATCGTGTAAACGATATTAACTGGGGGCTCAACCGGGATGGCAAATTTTTACTTGCTATCAAAAAAGCCAGGAGACATCCTTGAAAAGACAGGAACTCCGTGATTCTAAAGAAGGATAAAATTAAAATACCACGGGAAGTAGGACTTCCAATACAAACTGCTTGAAAAAGTAGCATACGATTCAAAGCAGATCCTGAAAAAGCGGACAGCGCCGAATCCAACAACAACGAAACAGCAGTAATCTAAGAAAGAAGATTACATGTTTACACCTCGACTAAACAGCAAGAAAGCAGCCTTTGACGACAACAAATAAATTAAATATATTCCGACTAGAAGCAAAAATTAACAGATCCTGAAACATTGGACAGTTAATTCGCCAGTACTAACAAATCAAAGTGGAACACCAAATGGTCCAACTCCATGCACAAATCGCTGCATTGAGGAAACATTGAAAAAGCAACTAGAGGAATTCACCTAAAGATTATCCTCAGTGGAACAACGCAAAATTTCCACAAACATTATCAACATGGAGACACCCATAACCAATATGCCATATTCCCACCGAGAGGACAGACACAAGCATAACTACATACCAAACTTAAGGATTCAGAGAAATAAATGTCAACAAAGTAACCTCTTCAATAAACAACGACAATCAGCACCAGTCCCAATGGACGTTGATGATTCCAGACGATGATCTTATGAGAAGAAATTATAACACTAGAATTAATACCGTTTACGACCACAATACAAGCATCAATTAGGACCAAATAGAAGATCCGATATGGACAACACATTATCCACATCTAATGCCTGATCACGAACCAATAGTTCCAAAAAGGTACCGAAAACAAGGAAAACCAAAAAGGAAAATGGTTGTTGACTTCAAGAAAATTCACGCTCATACGATTATCCTACGAGATTCCCGAGGTCAATACGACTATTAAAAACTTAGGAAAAGCATAGATTTTTCTGAAATCGCTTTGAAAAATATCACAATTAATTTTGAAAACATTTTTAAAACAAAATCATTAATAAAATGAAATCAAACATATCAAAAAACCCACAATAATAATTACATATATAATATAAAAGATTAATAATAATGATAATATCAGCGAAAAATATTAATTAAATAAAAGCACGATAATTAAAAATATACTTATAAACATCAAAATTTAATGAAACAAAATATTGTACAATTGTTAATAATACAATTAATTGATAAAATAATCAATGAATGATAATAGTAATATGAGAAGTACAATCAAATGTCAATCGATGTAAAAATTCCGAAGAATCATACAAAACTGAACTACGCCGACTTCAAGCCGAGTTTCTCCGACCATAGCAGATTTGAAATGAGACATTTACTTTTGAACACCGGGAGAGTTAAGGAACGTATTATTTATACATTATATCACCAATATTCTAAACAAACAAACATCAAAACAACCTTATCTCTGAATGAACAGAATGTATGAAAACAACATATAACAATAGAAATGCACTATCAATAAAGAGTACACATTTCACTGCAGCTCAAAGGTATTTTTAATAACTCATATCGCGTAAACGATATTAACTCGCGCTGACAAAATTTTTTCAGCTGCGACTGTCATATTAACGGCCAGATGACTGTCATTGTTCTTGCAGGGCTATGTACATAAGTATGTATGTAGTGTATACTATTGGTGGAGATTCTTCAGTTTTCACAGTTTTCCAGTAAAAGGCCTTTTAATCTAATTAAAAGCTATACCAGTGACTTTCAACAATTTTAGTATTTCTTTTAAATTTCATTTCATCTCAAAAAAAGAACAAAATGCTGCTTTTATCTTGTTCTCTTTTATTGCGAATTCTATTTATTCTAAATGGAAAATATTATAACTTACTGGTCTTATATACCATATTTACTTACAGAGAGTTTACCGGCTTGTTATTTGAACTTTGTACGAAAGCAGGTTTAAGTCAACATGAATTAGCCGTTGTAATGACCGACTGCTAACTCCAAGTTGCGCCGATAAGTTGCGAGTCAAAACTCTTGGATTTGCCTGAATTGAACATACGGATATCAATGGTATGGTTCTCTTGCGATACTTCCAGATTCGGCAAACATGTTCACCAATCTCATAATGGTCCATCTACTCGGGGTAATGCTGCCAAAATCCCGTCTGAATGCCCTTTGGACGGAAATGACGGCTGCGAAGCATGGTACCCCTGCATTATCAAATCCAAGCATTCATTTTTAAAAAAATTATGTATAATAACCTGCTGAATAAAAAAAAAAGTATGTCGAGTACTCACACATACTTGTAAAAACATTCCTTACGGTTTGCTTTTGTAGCACGTTTCGTGGGCCATCCTGTATATGAAAATATTGATAAAACACGTAACAAGCAGCCTTAAAAAGCCAGCATTTATGGCATTCGATCGATACATCATAAATATTCGATTCATACATACATACAAAGTTCTCGCCACTTGAACAATGATGAATTGAGTAAAACTCATTTTAAGAACGCAGGTCCGAATACTCAGACGAATTGACTATGCTGTACTAACTATAATGTTTTAGCTGGCGCAACCAATTCAACCGACATAATGATAAAATTGGATTATGACAACTTTGCTCTATTACATTTTTGCGTTCCTTCACGCTTCAAGGGAATTGAGCAAACATTTTTAACTACCAGGTATACCGATATGAAGTGAGCGTTAAGATACAAATGTGTTGGTAGGGAACATTTGTGTGAACAAGTCTTAATTTTATTTTTGTTTGGTTGGCATGACATCTGTCAATCATACTTGTATTTAATAACCTTACAGTCATTGATCAAACAACATCACATTTTTCATTGTGTTGAAAATGTCAAATTTGTACCGGAAAGTGATGATTTGCTGAAAGCATTAATTTTGTTTCATTTGAAGAAATACTGCAGAGTCGCATCGAATACTTGTCGAGGCTCTATCAGAAGTAACATGCAAAAGATGGTTTAACGTTCAAAGATAATAATTTTGATGTGAGAAATGAAGAACGAAAGAAAGTTTGAGCCGAGAATGAAAATGATACTTTGAGTCAACAGCAAATGGCAGACATGTTAAATGTTGTACAGCAAACAATTTCAGACCGTTTGAAAGCTATGGGAAAGATCAAAAGTGTGGATAATACTGCCACTAATTGAATGGAAAACCGAAAAGCACTTGTGAAAATTTGCTTCAAAGACATGAAAGAAAATCAGTTTGCACCGAATTGTCACTGGCGATGAAAAATGCATTTATTTTAAGAGTCCTGAACGGAAAATCATGGGTTAATCCGGGACAACCATCAACATCGACTGTAAAAACTGATCGATTCGGTAAAAAGGCAGTGCTTTGTGTTTGGTGGATCAGAAGAGTGTGGTGGTATATTATGAGCTTCTAAAACCTGGTAAACGGTTATACTATTCGCTACAGACAACAAATGATCAACCGTACATTGATCGAAAAGCGACCAGAATAGACCAGAAGACACGGCAAAGTAATTTTGTTACACTACTATGCACCTGCAAAATCGGTTCAGGAAAGAATCAAAGTACTTGGCTGGAAGCTGCCATCCCTTTCGCCGTATTCACCAGACTTGACACCTTCCGATTACCATTTGTTTTCATCGATGGGACACGCGTTGGCAGAGCAGCACTAGATTCCTACGCAGAAGTCAAATTGGGTTTCTGATTGGAACACATTGAACATTCTATTGGCATGGTATTCACAAAATTGCCAGAAAAGTGGTCAAAATGTGTTGAAAGACATGGTCAATATTTCGAATATTTTTACCTTCCCATTTAAAATTAGTATTTCATTTTCACAATAAACGCTCATTTAATACACCATTTCACTTAAATATGTCAAAACTCATACTGATATATTATACGCTTGTTCACAGAAAATTAAAATATAACTGAAAACTTTGATTTCACATTATCGCTTTATCATTCCCAAAATTTATGATTAGGAAGTTTTATCCACGGGTTTAAAAGTGTTTTCGTTTTGTGTACAATTTACTTACAAATTTGACAGTTTTCCAAGTTTTTCTTCACATTAGCTCGTTTCTGAAGTTGCATGGCGCAATCTTGTCGTTATCATTCTGACGTGCTGTTATGAGCACAGAACATAGAATATATAGAAAATTTATGATGAGCGTGTTTCACCACAAAATTTATTAGCGTTAGCGTTTCACGTGGCAATACGCTTTATGTTCTTTTCGTAACGATTCGCTACTACGCTATTCGGCATCCTTTTCATTTTGAAAATCTTCATGTCTGCAACTGCGCTCGGTTTCAATACATAATATTTTGAACTGCTCCTAAGAGATGTACCAAATATTTTGAAATTTGGAATGTGCCACATTGAAAAGGAGCTTAAGAAGTGCTTGGCTCTGTTAGAAACGAGATGAAGTCCACTTGGATCAATATTTTTCATAATTTGCTTCTTAACATGTCTAGAATAATTCGAAGTCTTTTAAAGATACAGATACATTTAGAATAAGAATCTGTTCGGAACGCTGAGTTGGCAGACTTGAAACGAGTTTTCTCAAAACTGTGTTTTCAAACGCAAGTTCGTAACTTTTTCAAATGTCTACTAAAAGTACAATTTTGTATATTCATTTGATAATAGTCCATTCCGTGCATCTAGGCTTACAGATAAAAATCCGCAAAGCGAATAGTGGGAAATGTGTGGCCCATTTTTCGAGGCGGGGTGTTCAGAACGCTGTAACTGACGTTTACTCTATCTATTTACTGGTCGTAGATAAAAATCCAAAAACCCCTAAAACAACAGGCCGTCATATGGGATGACCTCTTAATTCTCAAATGCACGACAAAATTAGTGAGTTCCATTTACAATTTAGTAACCGAATGATCATGATTGCGGTTTCTTTTATAAAAATTAAATTTAAATTTGTGTTAAAGCTAATCTTATGGGCAAATGATCTATACTAATATTATAAGAGGAAAGATTTGATTGTTTGTTTGAATTTGAATTGAATACACTCGAAACTACTTGACGGACTTAAAAATTCCTTCATCGTTAGGAAGTTAAACTATCTATAGGCTATATTATATTTTCATAAAAGTAACTTAAAGTGTAAAAATTCCCAAAAATTCGTTGATTATAGAACAAAATAAGGTAAATGTATAGTTTAGGTCCCTCAACTAAAGAGGCCTCAAAAATGTTTTTAAATCGTCTTATTTTACGCGTAGATTACAAACCCGTGAGCGAAAAGTGAATTTTTAATAATTCTATTTTTAATTTGTTCAAAAATCGTTTTTATAAATATGCATTAAAATAAAAAATTGTGAAACATTTAAATTAATTGTTTATTTTTTTCTTTGAAAAATCACATATTGTTCAAGTTTTGGTGTAAAAAATATATATATATATAAGTCCCGGGTGCGGATGGTATCCTTCCAGCTTTTCTGCAACAGGGGAGCAGGTCTACTGCCCCACCTTGTTCGGCTGGTGAGGATAGCCTTGCGCTGGCATATATCCCAGATCTTCTATCCAAAGTAGGAAGGAAGGACTATTCATTGGAAAATTCGAAGGCACACTATGCGATGTCGTACAAAGGGACTGGGACTGGCAAAGGGATGGTGTAGTGGGTTGGCTAAACATCAACCCTCCAAAACTACAATCTTCCTTCACCAGACGGAGGTCACTGCCAGGCCTCAGAAGTATATCCCTGACGGCAGAGTGGTGGAGATCGCCAACACGGTCAAATATCTGG